TCTTCAGTAGACTTGTCTACTGCAATGGTGTCTTCACAGGTCTCACTAAAAAATCTATTAGAAAGCTGCAGCTGATTCAGAACGCCGCTGCTCGAGTCCTCACCAACACTAAAAAAGTGGATCACATCACTCATGTTCTGAAGTCTTTACACTGGCTTCCTGTGTGTCAAATAATTGATTTCAAAAATATTGCTGCTGGTTTATAAAGCTTTGAATGGTTTTGGCTCAAAATACATTTCTGATCTACTGCTAAATTATTAACCATCCTGATCTCCCAGGTCTTCAGGGACTGGTCAGCTTTCTGTCCCCAGACAAGAGTCAGAACTAAACATGGAGAAGCAGCGTTCAGTTATTATGCTCCAAATATCTGGAAAAAACTCCCAGAAACCTGCAGGTCCGCTGCAACTCTGACTACTTTTATATCCAGGCTGAAGACTTTTCTTTTTGCTGCTGCTTTTAATTGAACTATTCACATCTTAAACTGCACTGTAACTTTTATCCATGTATTTTTTCTTTTAATGTTTATTTGATTATCTTTTCTTTTTAATGACTGCTTTTAAATGCCATTTTGTAATTGTTTTTCATTTTTTGTAAAGCACTTTGAATTTCCTTGTGTTGAAAGGTGCTATATAAATAAACTTGCCTTGCCTTGCCTTACTGGGTTGAATGCTGCTTTTGTCTTGTCTGTTGTGAACTTGTTTATGATTTTGCTTTATGAATTGAGTGATTATTTAAAAAGTAATTGTAATATGATCAAATAAATATAACATACACTTATGAATTGAAATGAAACAGACTTCTTATATTTTGTAGAGGTCACGCATTTTATTCTGAAGGATTTGCGCCGGAAGTCCTCTGCCGGCCCGGGGGAGGAACTGTTCTTACGGAAAGGCATGGCATGTGTGACAGGTCACACTGCTTTCACACACACACTACGCACGTTGACAGTGTGTATTAAGGACAAGCTGACCGGCTTTGCTCAGTTTTTGCTTTATTTATTAAACTAAAGTGCAGTCATGTCGGGAGCGTTAGCCAGGCTGCTCTTCTACCCGACGTTAGCCTATAATGTTGCCATGGAGAAGGCGACGTCCAGACGGTGGTTTGACCGGGTGGACGAGACGGTGGTCCTCGGGGCGCTGCCGTTCAGATCCATCACCAAACAGGTTTCACACATCACTAAAAATGTCCTCTACATGTCTGTCTGTCTTCTTATTAGTCATTACAGTGGAGGAATAAACACCTAGCGTATTTGCTAATCCCACCTGTGAAAATACTCTAGGCCTACTACAGGTGAAAGTGCTCCATTCAAAACATGTTTCTGCTGCAGTAATGTTGCATTTACTGCTGTAGTTTACTCTAAGCCAGGGGTGTCCAAACCTTTTTTACTGAGGGCCACATACAGAAAAATATACGAAGGCCTACTCACTAGAGGTGAGGTATATTGCCTCAAAGGTAGCACAATCAATCAAATGTAGGTACATTATGCTTGAAACTTATATATCCTTTAATTAAAAAACAGTCTACATCACAGCTTTCCATAGGGTTTAAAAGTTCTATTTATCTTGTTACAAAAAGTGTTGGCAGCTCATTCATTAAAACAGAAGCCTCAGATTGCTTATAATAAAAGGAAATATGAAGGTATATTTCAAACTTGTTATGCAAATAAGTTATTTATTTGAAAATGTGGCTTATCAACACACGAAGTGTAATATATTTGTGTATATATTTATGAAGAAGTTTCATGTGTGGGCCCTTTTCCATTATCCTTTGAGAGAAAATGGACCACAGAACGCCCCAGGCCTTAGTTTGGACCCCTCTGATCTAAACCAACTCATCTCATTCTATTACCACATTGTATGTTTGTAGTTTTGTCAGTCCTCTGCAAACCACGTATCTCCACAAAGTCAACTTTTAATGAGCTTATAATAACCTATGCATTTTCCATCTGATCCAAGAGGCTATTATAATACTTTATCAGGATTCAAATAAGGAAAATGTTCTTACAATTCACTCTTAAGACATCAAACACACACAATCCACACATTTGGAGAGGAAGGGGTTGAAAAGCTGTAATCTGAAAAGTAACTAAATCTATCAGACAAATATGGAGGCTAATGTACAAGTCTACCTCTGACTCTAAGATGTAGTGTAGTTTCTAAATATTCAAGTCAAGTACAAGTAGGGAATTCTTAAAGGTCCCTTGTCATGGCCATTTCTACTGATCATAATTCCATTGTTGAGGTATACTAAAATAGATTTACACTGTGCAATTTCACTCACATTGGTTTCTCATACATACAGCATCTCTGTAAAGTATGTGAATTCACCGGTATTCACTCTCTGTCCTAAACGGCTTGTTGGAGCTCCTGCCTCCCCTCCCTGTGAGCCCAGTGTGCGCTGATTGGTCGGGAAGTTGCGAGGCTGGTTGCTGCGAGGAGCGGACAGGCTTCCGTGTCGGCGATACAGCGAGAACAAGCAAAACTCATCCTGAGCCAGACCCGGTGTCGTGGGCCCGCCCATCCAGGATTTGGGCCCGCTGTTTTAATCAGTTTTAACATTTTAATTGTTTTGTTATTATGTTTATTGTTGTTATTTGTAGGGCTTTGTCCTAATATTTATTTTTGTTTTAAACTATGTTGAAAGATTAGTTTAATATCATTTTTTTATTTTGCTATGAAATTCTGAATGAAATTCTGAATGAAAGGCTGCGCGCGAGTCATGTGGGTTTTTGAGTGAGATGCGGCACAGCAGCCTGTCAGTTTACTTTTTCTAGGTTAGTTTGGCTATTATCATTTATATTTATCTGCAACAATGGATATCAGGAAGTGGTTCATGAAAGGAATATAATATATAATAATACCAACGAGCTAGCAAGCCAGCCAGGGACAAGGGAGGCTGGCAATCAATTATATTTTGAAGAGAAATTGACTCTCAAGCCGGCTATCTCACAAACTCCGGCTCTGTGCGCAAGCAGACTGCTGCACACACTCTCTGCCTCGCTCAATCTCTCTCTCTCTCTCTCTCTCTCTTTCTCTCTCTCTCTCTCTCTCTCTCTCCATCGCTCAACCTCACTCCACCCTGTGTGCACTCCTCAAGTTTGCCTGCGTGCTTGCCCAAGTTGGCACAGCGTTACAAATGTGCCACAAAACCAACCAATGGATGTAGCCTATAATAAGACCGTCAACAGCCTTATGGCAACCTAAAATCTATGACCTGAAACCCCTCTGTTTCCGTAACAACAATTCACGAGCGCCCCCCCTCGTTTCACAATTCAGATTTCCCGGGAAATGTAAGTATCGGGGTGGGTCCGCCCGGGTGGGCCCGCCCTGGTAACTCAAATGCCCGCCCAGAGACGTATATGTCTGCCGCCGGGTCTGTCCTGAGCACACACAAACACTCACAGCCGAAGTAAAAAAAAATAAGTGTGGCTTGATATTGAGTAAGAAAAAGGTTTATGTGAGAATGGGTCTGCGGAGAGCATTTCTCCGCGATCCCAACTTAGCAGCCCGAAAAACGTTTACCCATTTAAACAGTCGTGGTAGATACCTTGTTTGTTTTAAACATCATAAATACACAAACAACAATGAGTACTTACAGGTTGTGTACCCAAATCTCCCGCTGGTCCAAACAATGTAGGAACAGCATCGTTCTTCAGTGCCCTATGCTGTACATATCCGGCATGAATCGCTGAAAGGTTTGGGAAGCTTTGTTTCGTGAAAGGCTGGCAGAGGGTGTGGCCTCTGGGTATTCACACGTCACAGTACCCAGGGAGTAAACAATGGAAGGTGAGAAATCTCCAACGAGGCGTTTTGGGGAGGTCTTTTCTGTGTTAGAGTTTTACTCGCTATAGGGTGTACTTTGAGGGTTTTTTACTCTGCAGACGGTTTACATGCATAAAAACCTTCATAACACAAGGGGATGGGTAATAACCGGAAAAGCATGACATGGGACCTTTAAGATCAGTTCTTGAGTAAATGTACTCGGTTACATTCCACCACTGGTCTTTTCAAAGACTCAAACTGCATTTCTCAGAAGAATCAAAGTTGAACGGTTTTATGCTGTGCGGTGATGACTTCAACTACTGCTCTAATCTTCTGGAATTTGCTTCTAATGTAATTGCATCTTGATTTCATTATTTCATTAGTCCCATCAGAGAAGTATGTCGGGGTATAACTTGCTTTGCTTTCTAAGAAATGTCTGTTTGTGTATTTATTTGCTTTTAAATAAAGACACAGAAAATAGTCCTCCAGCCTTCAGAATATGCATGCAGTTATTCAGCTTTAATTATTTAACACTTCTCTAAAGTGTAAAAATAAAAACCTCAAAATTAACATCAGTTGTTTGATTTGAATAATTAAATAAATGAATCACATCACACAAGTAAAAACAAGCATATACATTGTAATTGCTTAATGCTGACCACCAGTCCAATTTTGAGCAGAAGATAACAACATTTGAATTAAAAAAGATGATAATAAAAAGATTTTTAGCCCTAAATACGAGATGGTAGGTCAGAGAATGTAGGAATCAGGAAAGATCATAGTGATTTATTTATGTTTTATTTCTGGCTATATTTGAAAGTATTGTTAGAGCACTTAAAATCAGTTGCTGTTGGCTGTTGGCATCAATGGACAAATCCTCCTCTATGCTCTTACAAATCTTTAACGCATGGTATTTCTCCCAGTGAGTGAGCGCCCTACAGTAGGTTACATTAAGTCATACAAAGCACAAACAATAGTACTAATAGAGACACAAAACACATGCCCGTATCAGGTGCCCCTCATACAGGAAGGATAGCTAATCACTTACATGCCATGAAATTACAATTATGTGATCTAATGATGCCAGTGTCTCGTGAATCATTTCTAAAAGCCCCCCAGATATCCAAACACACATGTCTCTTAAAGCTAACAAAACTATTATGGTGGGATATAGCTGGAGATATATGAGGGAAATTGTTAATTTATGGCCTCATAGGTAAGAAGGGCGATTTTTAACTGTTATATGAACCGGTAACCGATGCAGACATCAGTTGGGGAACCTTTGTTGTTTTTGGAATTAGCATTATAGTAGTCTTCTTTAGAAATTAGGAATGCACGTATGAGGATTCTAAGTTCTTTACTTTTATAAAATGTGTGCAATTGTACAAATGGGGAATAATGCAGTACATGTTGTGTACTTTGTGTGTTCTTGTCATTTATATGTAATCCATTTGGTCGGTGTTTGTAAATGGTTGCTTTGTCTTATAAAGTTATAGGTACTTGTCTTTCAGTCTGTGGATGACTCTACAGTCTACGTTACAATTCTAATTCTATAGTTAGTCGTTATTTAAGTCAATCTTCAACTGTTATGTTTTCATTTACATTGCTGAGATTGATGGATTCTATTTTTTGTGTTGCAGCTGGTAGAAACAGAGAATGTCCGAGGAGTTATCACCATGAATGAGGAGTATGAGACTAAATATTTCTGCAACTCAGCTGAGGTGAGCCCACTTGTACTTACATTTATCTTTGAATATTCAGCAGGCAAACATCATGTATGAGTTCAAAATGTAATCCAGCCACAAAGGTTGATATCTAACAGTGTAAGGAGCATTGAGGTTGTCTTCTTCCTTTCCGCATCGCATTGATCTATGAATGTTTAATTCGATGTGTTTGATTCAGGAGTGGCAGTCAGCAGGGGTGGAGCAGCTGAGGTTGAGTACGGTTGACCTCACCGGCGTCCCCAGCCTGGAGAACCTGTGTCAGGGCGTGGAGTTCACCCTGAAGCACCGGGAGCAGGGCAGCAGCGTGTACGTCCACTGCAAGGCCGGACGCTCACGCAGCGCCACCATGGCTGCTGCCTACCTCATCCGGGTCAGTACTGAACACAGTCCTCAGGTTTTACTCTGACCTCCAAATGCCTTGTTGCACAGAATTTAGATTTTTAGTTTTGTGTTTAGTTTTCTTGTATCTCACATGTATGTGTCTTGAGAATGTATTTGTGGTGCTGTTGTATTTGAAAGCATTTAAGTTGGGAAACAACTTGTAATTGTAATTTAGAACAGTAATTGACCATAGTATTAATTATGTATTTCTCATTTATCCAGGTAATTTCATGCAGTAGGTTTCAACAGGTTAACGGTGTAACATTCGACTTTCTTTAATTAAAGAGACAGGTTATCCACCCAAAAAAAAATTATCGTGCTACTTATAAATCTAAATTGTTTTGGTGAGATTGATGAGTGTTGTTCCTGAAATGATTTCACTAGATGGAGCTCAGCTAGTGTTGCTCAAAGCAAAAACCAAAAAGCCTTTTAAAAATGTAAACAGCAATATCTCTTTCCAGAATTCATGAACCGGTTTCTCAAGAAAATCCACAGGCCTTGTTGTGATCAGTTTCATGGAGGAACTACTCCCTTTGTACCGTATCACCACAAAGAAGGAAGTGAGCATGTATGAGAAGCTTTTGACAGCAAGATGTTAAAATGATCCTCGGCTAAGCTCTAACTTTAGCTATCTTAGGAGAACTTCAGAAGCCTTTTGTCTTGTAGCGTAGGGACAGATTATTTTTCTTGCCGCTTTGAGCTCCACAGGCACAGTACCTTGAAGTTCCAGTGGCTGCAATTTGGACATTGCACTAGTTCATATATTATTAGATACAATTTGGATTGATTGTACAGCCCTAATACTACTCTGAAACTAATTCTATGAAACTTAGTCCAGGCTGTCTGTTCACAGAGTAATACATACCTTGATTCTGACATTGCACTTTTCTGCTGACAGTTACACTGCTGTACTCCAGAGGAAGCGTGTCAGAAGCTGGCGTCTGTCCGTCCGCACATCCTGGTGCGCTCCGCTCAGCTGGAGGTGCTGATGAAATATTACCAACAGGTGTGTGAACAGTCCAGCTGAGAGGATAGGACGCGGGTCGGACCTCATCCTACAGCTGCTGGAACACTGGACTCGGAGCTTTGGACACTCCTCTGAATCTACACCCACTGAAGAAATGTATTGCCTTTACATGAGCTTTTACTGGGAAATTATGAAGTAACACATTAACAATGTACCATACATCAGTAAGCAGAAAACTGTTTTTTTACAAGAAATATAAAGCGATTTTATTTTTGTATAGCCTTTAATTACATAATGACTACCTGGTTTCTTGCCTCTAGCTAAAACATATATACATTTTCATATGGTGAATGTATGAAGCTTAGAATTATGTTAAAAGAACAATTAACATTACATTTAAAATATCTGAGCCGCCTCCTGTTACAGAAACAAATATTTTCAAATTCCTAAAACAAGCCAACAATAAAATATTGTTAGACTGTGACTGTAATAGGCTTAATTGAGTTGTGTGCATTATGCATGTTGTAGCCAGTGGCAGCTTTTACTTTGTTTACTGGAACATGTTTTCTTTCAATGCCTTCCGAATATTGACACAGTGATGTTAAATAAAGTATTTGTGAGATGAAACAGTCCCAGTGTGATTGATGGTCTTTTATTTTCAGCATCCAGGTTTTACTGATATACATGCATGAGAGCTGTTGTAGTAATGAAGTGAAATGGCATGAAAACCTAGCAATCTACTGAAAGACGCTGCTGTAATGAAGGGTAAGTGCACCAACGATTGAACGGAACGGGAACTAAATACATTGACTCAACTGAGTATTATGAAATAATTCTTGAGTAGTAGCGGACTGGCCATCGGGACTCTGGTTGGTGTATAACGTCGGTGAGCATTGATAGTAAACACCCTAGAGAAAAACGGGCATTTAACAAAAACAAGTGTGAAAATAGTGGAGTTTATGGCACTGTTGGCTTTTCGACAGCAGACAACAGTTCTCTTCCGGTCCATCAGGAGGCGACACCCCGCTAACAATCGCGACTCTGCCCGAAGAAACACGGTTGTGTAGAACAAACATGGCAGCGTCGCTGGTGCGGTTTGTCCGCGGAGGTCTTGGAAGGAGTTACAACCGTAAGTTGATTTGAAACTCATTTTATTTCGTACACTCTGTTTGCAGCAGTGGTCTGTATATGTATGAATGTCCTTCCTTGCCGCTGAAAACAGCACGGTGTTTTTTGCAAGCGTCAAATGTGTCAGGGATGACCTTCGAGCTAGCTAAGTCTAACGTTAGCATGCACGTAATTGAATGACAGTTACTGTTTTTAAAGGCAGATTGGTTTATTATGGCAACGTTAAAGGTCGCACACAAGGGTTAGGAGTAGATGGAGGAAGATTTGATGCATTTTGTAGTGTTGTTGTTGTTGTTTCAATTCCTCTGCAGTTATACGTTCGGTCTTTAGTTGTGTATACTTAATCTTTTTTTTGACATATTTTTCCAGTTGCAAGGACTGCATGTCTCCTCCAGCAGCAGACCAGGCTGCAGAGCTCCGACACCAGCCGTGAGTGGTACACACTAACCAACTGATGATTCAGGAAACCAGTGGTGGAACAAGTTACCTGACTACAAGTATTTGCATCAAAGTGTGCTTAACTAGTACCAACATGATGGCTTATTTAAGAACCATATGTGTTTTGGATATTCAATGTGAATGTCCTTCAAGTGAGAGTTGTCGTTATGGTAGTTTTAAAAACAATTATCTAAAATAGAGTAAAACAGAATCTTCAGCTCACCCAAACAATTCAGAATACAATGCACGCACGCACGCACACATACACACACACACATACATACACATACACATACACATACACATACACATACATACACACACACACAGCTCAACAGCAGCTGGTGAGAAAGAAGCACAAGTAGCCTATACTCTTGTTGAAGCTTCCTATGCCATATCTGATCTCAAGCAAGGTCAAGTGAAAGCACTTCACAAAACTACACTTTTACAGAGATTCATCCAAGCTAACAAAGTTCAATTGTTGTCACATTATTAAAACTCAAGGCGCATATATCTCAAAGTGTATGAATACATCTAAATATGAATACATTGCTATAACATGTCATTTTATAATTATTACTATGTCGTAATTATTTATTCACAAATGTGTTCATTACTTTAATGTTGCAGCTGATCATCACATATTCAGTGAGAGTAGTTATTTCACTCAAACTCAAGCCCAAATCCACACTATTCCCTCTGTTGCTATGTCAATAATGACCATGAGAAGGACACATTGGGTGTTTCTCAATCTCGAGTATGCTTGCTTGGTAGCATATGTCTTCTGAGTCACTTGCTTCAGAAGCGAGGAAGAATACTTCCTGGCATTCGGAAAACAAAGAGTGGAACAGGCTAGCAAGTGTGCAGGTGTGCGTCATATGAGAGGCCCCGCCTTACATTTTCCGCCGTAGATTTGGGGAAATTGGTCCGTACGAGAAGCATTGTGGGAATTTGATTTTAAGACCGAAGTCTACACATGTGCAGCCTCGAAATTTCTCCAAACGAAGTGCGCCGGGCTCGGTAGAATTCCAAGTATGCTGGACAGTGGAACAGTACTTCGGCGGCACTCGATAACGTAGTATGCTTGAAATAGTGGCTCTGCAGCAGCTTTACTCAAGATTGAGAAACACCCATTGTTCAGTCCTTACTAAACAATTTTCTCCTCTCTCCATCATGCAGCCACCATCAGGCCCAAGGATGCTGTGGCTAACAGCCAGCTGGCAGCGTTTGGGGAGTTTGTGGCTGAGATGATGCCCAAATATGTCCAGCAGGTCGAGGTCAGTTGATATGAGGATCAGTGTTCATCGTACTGACTGTGCTGAGCACTGTAATGTGCATCCTAATATTGGAACAGACCAAGATGTAAATGGAAGGCTTTTTGTATTGTTATATTGCTTGATTTTAATTTGACTTCAAATATATTTATTTGTTGTTCTTTTCTTTTCACTATCTCTGTAAAGCGACTTTGAGCACCTGTAAAAGCGCTTACAAAATAAATCTATTGTTATTGTATTTGAACAAATTCCACATGACAACATATATATATTTAAACAAGCAGGTCAGTCCGACTTGGTACAGTTTGCATTAGTAATTGTATTTTTTAAGTACTTTGATAAATATGAACAGATTTAGCAATAAAGGCGTTGTGGTGCACAATGCAGAAGAAACATATGGTGTAGTTTTATAAAAAAGAAAAACACCTAATTGGACCCCTTACTACTGAACTCTGTTTTTTAAATACATTTTTTTTAATTGTCCTTAATTGTATTCCTGTATAATTGAAATGTCTATAATCCAATTTCAGAAACGTGCAGGTAGCGTAATGCGTTTGTTTGTGTAGGTGACCTGTTTCAATGAGCTGGATGTAATGATCCATCCCGACGGGGTGATCCCTGTGCTGACCTTCCTGAGGGACCACACCAACGCCCAGTTCAGGAACATGATCGACCTGACGGCTGTCGATGTACCGTCACGCCAGAACCGCTTTGAGGTAGCTATCAGCAAACATGCACCCACTCACACACCTAGAGACATGCCTTATTGGTGAGTTGTAAAATGAAAAGAGTGCCCTATCAAAAAACGTGAAGAAAATTGTGTGGTGTGTTTGAAGATTCATCTGTAATATTGCGGCTTTGCATTTGTCACTATAAATAGTGATATTTAAAATGTGTAATATTAATACCAAGTTGCCAAACACATGTTCTATTGTTGACAGCCCTAATATTAATTAAATGAATATGTTAATGGGAAGGAGCTGTCCTGTTAGTCGAGTATCCATCCTTCTAAACAAACTTTCCAAAGGTTTTCACAGTGATAATGTGTGCCTGTATGCTCGTTTTCAGATTGTGTACAACCTGCTGTCGCTGCGCTACAACTCTCGTATCCGTATTAAGACGTACAGCGATGAGTTATCACCGGTGGACTCTGCAGTCTCAGTCCACATGGCTGCCAACTGGTACGAGAGGGAGGTGAGTCACAATCTCAGGGGTCATTACAGCGTTTATTTTACTTCACAGAGTCATGGACAAACCTGGTAAATGTGTATGTTTATTTTTCTGCAGGTATGGGACATGTATGGCGTGTTCTTTGCCAACCACCCAGACCTGAGGCGTATTTTGACAGACTATGGCTTCGAGGGTCACCCCTTCAGGAAGGACTTCCCTCTCTCCGGATACGTAGAGGTGAGTTCTGCAAGAAACACACTTTTCAGCTTTCATATTTGTGTTTTAAGGTTCTACTGTGACATGTTTACATGCTTTAATGTTGAAAAAGGTGAGAGGAACTCACACTGGAGGGAGCTTTGGGATTTTATCCTTTGTAGACAATTTACATGCACAATAACATATATAAAACATTACAGGAAAGGAAAACCCCCAAAAAGCATAATACGCCTCTCTCATACAGCCTATTTCATGTGCTGTTCATTTATAAATGTTGTAGACCGTGCCCAAACGGCTGGATCCTTTGATCATTCTTTTCTTCCATTCAGCTCATGATAATTATTTCAGGTTTCGCACAAGCTGTGAAAAGCCTTTATAGTTTGTGCTGAGAAGGAACAAGTCGTGGCCTAAATACTTCCTGAATACATTTCCCTTTTTTAAAGAATGATTTATTCATTTCAACACGGTACCCAAACTCCTCTAGTTTAATTCTCTCTTTCAGACGATATACCCTTCACATTCCTGTTTTAAAAATTCATCATTTAATCAGGAAGTCGCCCTTTGAAAAGCTTCTCATGCAGTATTGTTTTCATATTTTCCACCAAGAGTTTTTTGAAGTTTTTGGTCCTTGAAATGTACTATCCACGAGCATGACAATTGCTTTTAGATACATAAAAAAAAAATGCGACAACTTTGCCTCTTTAATGTGTTGCGTTGTTTCCCTCTGCAGGTGCGTTATGATGATGAGCTGAAGCGTGTGGTGGCGGAGCCAGTGGAACTGTCGCAGGAGTTCAGGAAGTTTGACCTGAACACGCCCTGGGAGACGTTCCCGGCATACAGAGAGCCCAAAGAGGTGGCACCCAAACTGGAGGCTGGTGACGCAGCCCCTGAGAAGAAATGATGACCCCCTTTCTCATCTTCATGTTCTGTCTGTTAATGTCATTTTTGGGAGGCCCAGCACCCTGAACAAACCCTGAAATGTTTATGTAAATAAAAATACTAATAAAACAACCATCACAATAGTTTTTCAATTATTTTCAGATCTTTTAACCGCTTTTATTACGGCAAAGATGCAATTCGATTTTTTACCATGTACTACACTTTGTAATGTTCGTGTGAATTTGTATCTATTTATAGTGTGGGGCATGTCAATGATGAGACAAAACCATAGACTATATAAACAAAACATGCAACAATGCACATATATGAAATCAGGAATATCGGATGAATGCGTCCTATAAAACAACCAGTTAGTGGAGTGTGTGATTTGTTGGTGTATTAGTAGTGGGTTTTAAAAATTGTGATTTAAATTCAAAGAAGATATTTGAGTTATAAAGAGTGAGTGTATGTATGTTGGCCACATAGTTTGGTATAGTTATTTTAGAGGCATAGGGTGTATTTTCAAATAAAAATAAAAACCATCCCTGAAAAGCATAAATGTCTGAAAGAATATTAAATGTATGATTATTTTTTTTAGATGGAGATTTCTGCTGATTATTTTAACCATAAATCAATTGTTATTTGATTTGTGTGAAATAAGTCACCATTACCAGAACCCAAGTAACAATGGTTGCAACAGGTTTGGACTGTGAAACAATGAACATTAGAAAAGACTCAACGATTATTAGAATTGTGAATTGATCAAGTCTCATCTTCAACTTGCAATGTTTCATATGTCCTCTGCACAATCATCTCAATCTGCAAAGTAACTAGTCAAATAAATGACGTGCATTAAAAAGTCCAATATTTCCCTATGAAAGTGACTGGGGTTTAAGAATAATGTGACATGGAAATAAAAGAAAACTGTAAATGTTTTCTTAAGTACAGTAGCCTACTTGAGTAAATGAATTGGAAAACGTACATCCTCTAAATGTAAATGTTAAACACGGAATTGGTTTATTAAGGGTTAAAGTTGGCATTATTCAATCTGATATAAAAGAAAAGATGCAGCTCATAATTAAGCAGTTGTGAAACGCACCACCGACCAACATGCCAAGTGACCCAAATCAAACCTAACAGGTGCATGCTGGGTGTGGCTAACATGCTAAATGCTAACATGCACATGGTGGATGCTCCAGGTGACTTTTGGAACTTTTACCTTCAGTGAGGTATTTAAAGCCCCTTCCTGCTGATTGTGACTGGTTATAGTAGGACAGAGAGGCTGAGTTGACTGATTATGTTTTGCTTTGAGAAGGAACAAGTAAAATATGAAGATGGAGCAGATTGAGGAGGCCTTCATGGTGCTCAAGACTCGGACTGACATTCGAACTGGTGAGTCCAATGTTGTGACGTTAGAATGTGTGTTTGTGTGTGCAATTGCTGCACATTTGCTTACTTGTGTGGCTGAGTTTATGTTGTTTTCACATCTCTTTGCTATTGCTTTGCCTATGATTTTTATTTCTGCTGGTGGCTTATTTCATTTCTGTACTTGTCTTTATACATGCTTGTTGGATGTTTTTTTGAAGTTCATCAAATACAAATGACCTTTTTTGTATGTCTAGTATATTTTTACCAAATTGATTATAAGTGTAGGCCTTCTTGATTAAAACTGTTAGTCACAGTACATTTACTTATTTGTAGTGCTCCTTCCAAGCCTACTGTTTATCTTTTTAGCATTAATCATTTCAACCAATAATTAATTGGTATCTTTAAAGCCTCTGAAAACCTAGTTCAAAGGTTGAAAAGGTATAGTTAAATGTTGGAAAAAATAGCTAAAGGTTGGAAAAAGCATATAAAAGTATATTTAAAAAAAATGTTTGGTTAACAGTTAACTCCAATCTGCTTCACCGTGACATACGATTGACAGCGGTGTCGCAAAATTGGTAAACAATGTTATGCCCCTCATAAGGCATAAGGATTAAATATAGCCAAATCCATGTATGAAATTACTGAAAACTGGAGCAACTTTGGCAAACTAAACAAAACAACTGTCAATTAATCTAATAGTCCATTATCACAAGGAGAATATATGGTTGATAATGTGTTATTAAATGCCTTTTTAAATTAAGTTCTATTAATTTTGATTGTTGAAATCTAAGTTGTAGTATTTGACATACTGGAGTCAGCCAGTAGATGATGCTGCAGCACACGATATAAAATGCAGACTACATTTCTCTGACAGCTGATGGTTTTATCTGAGTTTACATCATGGATGCAATGAGAACACATGCTTTACATTTCCAGTTTTTATTTTGTCAAACATTTGTAATGAAGCATTCATTTTACATTTAAGAAATACTCAAAACAAGAGTCAACAACCAGACTACTGTAGACATTGGTCAAAATGTATAATTATTATTTTCTTTTTTTTCATTGTGGTTGGATTTGTGCTTTTGGGACACAATTTCTTATTTTGGATAATTTTCAACCGCATTTTGACTCATGCCTGCTGGAAATACAGTAGTTAGTAATACAGGATGATCCATCTTTCCTCAGGATTATCAAAAAGAAAGAAGCACAGACCAGGAACATCCAACATATTGTCAGTTACTGTACAGATAATTCACTTTAATAAAAATACCAGGTTAACAGGCGTCACCTGGGCCTGTAAAGCTGGTCAGCAAGTCATGACAACTTTTCTTTTTTAAATTGTATTTCTAGTTACATGCATGCATCACACAAGTGCTTCAGATGAGTTATGCTCAAGTCATTTCACACACCACAAGTTCTGATCATGACTTACTGAACAGGGTCAGGTTTGTCTCAAAGTAAAGCTGAAGCAGCCACAGGTCCACCCTCAAGCACTGGAGTCTCTCTCAGGCTGAATTATATAAAGGGTTGGATTTGAGCAGAATGCATTATTTTCTGAAATGAGGCAAACCCACAGCAATTTCATCCTGCAAAAAAATGAGCGTGTCTTGTCCAAAACTGTGTCATTTTCTGACTAGAGGAGAGGAAATTGTCGATTAGTAACACTGTTACAGAGAGGCCTGGTGAGAGTGTGAGGTCGCCGGAGACTTGCTGTCGCTTATTAGTTTTCTGAAGAGGTGTGTGAGGCCATTTCCCCCGGTGCTAAAGAGAACGCTGTGAGGTGAAGACGCTTGGGATTTTCAGCTAATTTCAGAAAATTCTGCTTTCCCCACTCATCACATTCTCAGGTTTATCTGATTGTGTTTAATTTTAGATATTTCGGTGAAATACACCAAGAGAACCCTTCATTTTACTTACTTAATTTCTGTGATTTGCCGCTGTCTAACAGTCTCAATGCAGTACTTATTTTTTCTTTTTTTCAGTATGGATTTTCACTAGCTTTGAGTGGTATTGTGAAAATATTCATCAAACCACTGTCAGTTTAACTTGTAATACTGTCTTAAAATGTGCCTGAATGCATTCTAAGTATACTTATATTTGTACTTTCTTTATTTATCCCTTTTTATTGTGCCTTTCTGCTGCTGCAACTACCACATTTCCCATCTGGGGATAGATATCTTTATCTCAACTTGTGATTAGTTTCAATGGACGGTTTTTTGCATGTGGGTTGGCTTGTGAGCCCTAAAATGTCTACGTAGTACCTATTTTTAAAGGTTATGGCCTCAGTGTGGAAATAGGATTTTTGTTTTTCCTTTTTCTTTTTTATATTATCAATTGTCGAGTGACTCCTCAGATTTATTCTGACGCCTAGGTTGAGAACCAGTGCCCAAGCTGTATGTCTATGAATAGTTTAACGAAAATGTTGTTCCCTTAGCTCTTCAAGATCTAAAAAGGTCAAAATCTTCATAGAAAATGAAAAATAACCAAACAAACATTTCTTCTTTCTACGCCTATATGTTCTTCTGACCCGTTTATTTTCTGACCTCTTTGGCAACATTGCTTCTGGATTTGGCAAGTTGCAGTCAGATGTTTTTGGTCACTTGGTTCCCTTTCAAACAAGCTGTAAAAACAACATTGTCCTTGTATTATAATAGTGTATTTCTTGCCATAAAATCTTTTTATGTAAGCAATCATTTTTTTATTCGCACAATCAGCAGACACGAAGCAACATTATCATTATTTTTGACTCATGCTTTCATTGAAGTGATGAATGTAACTCTCTGCTTTTAGCTCATGTTGGTCTCCACTATCTCCTGAGAAAACATATTGCTCTTAAGCTGGAAAAGGTTCTATACATGTTCTCCAATTAGTCTCTAATTGTGTCTGTCATTTGAGGGTTTCGTGGGTTTGGTTTTCTTTTGGCTGGAAAGTTAATAATGGCAGTAAGAATAAACCAAAGCAATAAAATGATTGCTGTGGTGAGTTTTTAGTCCATTGTTTAGACAAAAATATTGATTAGTGTTACATTAACTGTCATTTGTCGATGCTTTCAGCACCACGTAAAACTTTTTTTTATCTCTTTAATGACAGCAGAAATCAAATGAACCAAACCAAGTTTGCTTTGGTAGTCTTATAATTAGAATTCTGTAAACTGATATTGGTGCCCACCACTTACTTATATTGGTCTAAAATGTACATTCTCTTAAAATAAACTAGCCTGCTAGCAAAACCCTAGTGTGTCAAGCCCATCATTTATAGCATAACTTCACAGAAAACTACCTTTTTAAAAAAAGTGTAAATGTTCAATTACAGCAAAGTATCACTTCACACGGTGCTTCTCCAACAGAGTAGGTGATTTCATAAAGTCAAGGTTCATCACAACTTGAACAGCATCATCTTTCTCCCGGCGGTGTGAAATTAAACAGACATGCATATTACATTGGCCTTGGAGAAGCTGTTCAATTTTCCCCACAGTGGACGCCATCTGAAGAAATGAATTAAACTGCTGCTAGAATTAGAAATCAAATTTAAGGTCCGCAGGCCCAGAGGTGGCATGTGGTCAACAGTTGGGATGGATATGCAGTCTGCGCTTTATCAGAACGGTTGGTTTCGTCCCATTGTCCTCTGCTCCCGCTGTGGCTAAGCATCGGAGCGAGAAACACTTTGATATAAATAAAATAAAGACTCTTTTTGACACGAAACACACGCTTGTATCAGTTTCACATGCCTCTAAAGACAGAACTAAAGTAAAGTGACATTTTACATACAAGCAGAAACAACAAGTCTTTGACAAGAATTACAAATGCACTTACAGAATGTTTTTTTTTACTTTAAAATGAAAATTACTGTGAGATTACCTCCTCACATACGTGTACAGTAGGCCGGGTGACTTTAATCCTTAACAGGTTGTGAGCCTGGCTTCTAGTTTAAAAAAACACTTTAAATTTAGTTTTCACTTTAATGGGAGATGCTGAATGCAAACCCAGGAAAAGTACCAAAAATCATTACCTTTGTCCAGAAAATCTACAGGCCCAATTTTCATTAAACTTTGTGGAAGGGTGCAGCATTGGACAAGGAAGAAAATATTCAATTTTGGAGGGTATCCAAATCCAAGGGTGTAGATACGCATTATTTGTCACTTATGAAAACTCCCTTGGTCGAATTCTGCGCTCCAAGAGTGCCCTTCTGGATTGATTATATACAACTAACAGAATAACTAACAGAGGGTAGTTTTAGCGTTGTTGAATTGCAATGTCATGGAAGTACAACATCTATGTCCCTGTGGTGGTTTGGCTGACACGGCGGTGAACAGGTAATGCTGCAGTTTTCATTATAGAGTGCAATATTGAATTTGAGTTCTCATTCGAAGTTTCACGTTTGAATATGATGAAGTCTTATCCTGGGACGCTAAAAGCTGGAATTTGAAGAGATTTTCTTTTAAGCATTGCACTCAGTCAAAGGTCCCCGTGATTTTGTGAAGAAATTCCTAGTAAGAGGAAACGTCAAAGACAACGGTGAGTTTCCTCCACTCGGCACGCTACCCACAAACTGCCCAATGCCTTTTGTGGACTCGGACTTCTCCACTTACTGAATTCCCCCCACAATGTTCAGTCCCAAGCCTGTATGCTGTGGCTAGGGCTTCTTGTCTGCATATGATTGGCTGCCTCCGGTGGTGGTTGTAGTGTTGGGTAAGTCGGGATATACCAGGAAGCCAGTGAAGGTGATGTACTTGGCGTGGTTGCTGTAGGCTCCAAAGCCATCTTTCTGGTGGGAGTAGAGCCAGACGATTTCTCCCGGTTTCAGCGACAGCATCAAACTCTGACTCTGCAGAGCCTTCTCGCCCTGGCTGTCGTCATAGATCATCGCCTGCACCTCCAGGTGGTTCTTCATCAGCTTGACGGACAGCGTCTTCTGCGGCATCTTGCCCACGTTGAAGGAGAAGTAGTAGGCTCCAGGAACGCGACAAGTGAACACCCCCTCTGTCACGTTAAAGTCTTCCCCGATGTTGACGAACGCCGTGTCGAAGCTGACCGGCTGGTGCTGCGGCAGGCCCACTTGGTTGACTCCCACGATGCTTTGGGTGCGCCCTACCGAGAAGGCAGATCTCTGGTCGTCCTCGTCCTCGTCATACTCTTCCTCTTCTACCTCCTGATGTTGCTGCTCCTTCTCCTCCACAACCACCACCACCACCGGTGCGTCTGTTGTTTCAGACCTGATGTTCTCGGTGGCCTGGTTGCTGTTCAACAGGGGCTTGTTCTCCTCCTGGGGCTGCTGGGAGTTGGAGTTAGAATGGTGGTGGTGTGTCTGGAAGTCGTAGGTGTCGGGGTAGATGAGGTAACCGTTGAAGGTGGTGTAGTGTCCCGTGTTGCTGTAGAGCGCATAGCGAGGGTCACCATGGAGACGGAGCCAGACGGTGTCACCAAACTCCAGCTGCAGCATGACGCTCTGACTCTGCACCTGAGGATTAAAGCAGGCCTTATTATCAGAGTTCCACATCGGCACCACATATAATCCAATCATCTACATCACACTTATTATTAGGGGGAATTTGGTGTGTAATCCCCTCTGTTGTACATTAATTCCCCACCCAAATACAACACGTCATGTTGCCTTGTGAGACTCGTGGAGAGCTTTGACATGATAAAATACCTTTTGTAATCATTACCTAAGACAGAAAACCAATCCTAACACAGAATTCATTTTTAAGAAATGCATTTAGATGAGAAGGTTTGATTGAGCATGGCGTCAGTTAGCTTAGCTTAGCTCAAGGGCTGGGAGCAGGAACAACAGCCTGGCTGTCCAAAGTTCAGAATAACACCTACCAGCATATCCAGCTAAAGAAAAACATAAACCTTTGTCTTAAACTTTAAAAATATTCCTCAATTTAAGAAGTCCTTGCATGTTCGAAGTTAAATGATCATTAGCCTGATATCCATACTGAATGTTAATCTTTAAGAATGGTTCAGAAATGAATATTTAATTCTTCGTCAAAAAGAAAGTTGTGCTTAAAGAGCTGGTCACTCAAGTTTTGTTTTTAATCATGGGGACTAGTTCCAGCGATGGATGAATCCGCATTATTAGTATTTCTGGCATTAGGTGTATTTGGGAGTCGTTCTTAATAAACTACAGCTTGTGTGTTCATTAAACATGTCACCCATTGCAACAGTGTGGCTTATTGTTGAGCTTTTAATTGTTGTTGGACAACAATGGAGCTTTTTCAAACAAAGAAAGAAAATATCTCAGCCTTTGATGTACACACACTATAAATACATTCACTGTTGGTTTTGATATTTTTACTGGACTTTTTGCGACAAATAAAAATTTTGAGTACCTAAAAAGCCAGTCAGCAAGGAACTTTAGTCCCACCCACAAACGATCTGATTGAGAGGTCTGAAACCTACCTTCCTCTCCTCGCCGGCGTTCTCCTCGTACACGATGGCCTGCACCTCATTCCTGTTCTTCATCAGCATCACTGACAGGTCTTTGTGTGGGAACTTCCCCACTGTGAAGGAGAAGAAGTAGGCCCCGGTGATGCGACAGCGAAACAAGCCAGTCTTGGGATCAAAATCTCCACCAATGTTGACATAAATTGCGTCAAAGGTCACGGTCATCTTGGGCCCGCCCTCCATGCTGTTGGTGCGTGCAACCGAGAAAGCCGAGCGTAGCTCCACGTCATCCTGCAGACGGGCGAAACCCCACGCACCGCCCACATTGCTCAGGCACAGTAGGCCAATCAGAACGCTCGCTGGGAGCAGCATTTTGTCTGGAGAAACATAAAGAAAAATGTGGGAATTATTACAGAAATACAGAGTTTCAAATGTTTAGCCACATGGAAATCGATAATGGAATATGAAAACTTTTTAAATGTTTGTCCATTCAACCAGTTAAGCCCCCGATACCGGGGGAAAAACGCAACATCTTGCAAGAAACAGCGTCTGAGCGTCATACCCACTTAACGGGAAGAAACTCAGCTATCAGACAATATTAACAATTTTTAGTTACACGAAACACAACTCCAAGCCTCTTCATTAGCCCTGAGCGAAAAAATGCTAACACACTTAGCACAGAACTCACGGTAGAAATACTTTATTACTTATCGGATCTGCACAAACAAGATATCAGATTAAAGCTGAGATTCCACAGATTCTAGCGGTATAAGTATCATCACTGTGTCCCTTTTTGAAATGATTACTGATAATTAGGGCTGCTCAATTAATTGTATTTTCATCGCAATTACGATTTTGGCTTGCAACGATTATGAAAACAACATAATCAAAGTAAAACGATTATTTATTTTTTATATATTTATTTAAAAAAAAAATGTGTATTGGTTTTTCAGTTGAATTATACTTAAAGTTCAGGGAAATCAACTGTTCAAAACATACTGTTCAAATATTTTTCTTCAATAAATGGATGTTTTCAAAGTAAATGGATAATCGTTTTTAATAATCGTGATATCAATTATTGACCCAAATAATCGAGATTATGATTTTTGCCATAATCAAGCAGCACCTGGGGAGAATCATCTCTGCATGGACCATTGATGCATCTGGCTTGCTACAAAGATACATAAGGCACAATC